TCCTCGAATATCTTCTCTGTGGTGCCTGTGGAATCTGGTGTTACAGGGGCAGGAAGCCTGAGGAGGTCACTGAGTGGCCAGCTGGACCCCACAGGGGACAAGGTGGTCGGGAGCAGGCCTCAACATGGGGACAGGAGGACAGAGGGCCCCATACTCACAGGCCACATAGGACACCTCTACCTCCAGGCTCTCAATGTCGGCCACATTCACATAGAAGAAGGGCTTGGACTCGGGGATGGTGCCCCCGATGCCAGGCAGTGAGACGTTGGCCAGGCAGCAGCAGCAGTACACTGTGGGAGCCAGGAGGAGACAGGCAGGCGGTCAGCACCTCCCTTGCAACGCTGGCCTCCAACGCAGATGCCCCGGGTCTGCGTGGGATCTGTCCAGGTATGTACACTGGTGCTGTGTATACAATGGTGGGGCCTTTACAGGGAACTAGATCGGGGGGCTCCACAAGGGGGTGAAAGCCGAGCTCGGCTCGCTCCACAGCAGTGCCCTCTAGAGCATGCCTGGCTCCTCCTCCCTCTCCCAAGGTGAGGCCCTTGACACAACTAAGCAGACACCGGCACCATTCTCTTGGACTTCCAGAACACGACCCAAATGAATCTTTGGTGTGACTCCCTCAGGCGCAGGCATTTTGTTACAGAAACAGGAAGTGGGTCCTGCCAACACCCCATCCTGCAGCCTCCACCCTGGCCATCCACACTCTTCCCATTATTCCCTGCCACCTCACCCCCAACCCTGCAACTGTGTCCAGTCGATCCTCCACGTGTCCAGAATCCACCTTCCCTGCTTTAATCCTGACTCGCTTCTAAGCGAGCAACCAATGGCCCCAGCACTCTCTCTCCCCAGCACGCACACCAAGGCTCCACCTTCGAAAGCCTCGCTGCCGGCCTCCAACCCTCCAGGGCCCAATGTCTTCCAAGCAGTAGGAAGAACTCGGGTGTTCTCTGTGCTGGGAACTGAGGAAGCGCCTGACTGTGGCTTCGCTTACCTCTATAGCACACGACGCCCACGGGCGGGGGAGAAAATATCAAAATACGCTTCCGGAGTAAGGCAAATTTCCAGAGGATGAGGATCTGCTCTCCGAAGAACTTAATAAACTGAGACATGCAGCCAGCAGGGTGTGTGATCTGAAAGCACAAAAAGGGCCAGGGCCAGGGCCAGGGCCACAGGACGAAGCTTGTTAGAAATACATTGCTGAAAAGCACCCAGAACAGGTGTGTGCTGCGCTGCCACCCCACCCCTCACACTCCAAAATCAATAAACAACTAAAATACAAGTACAAACAAACATACGGCAAGGAATAGGTCTGCTGTACAAAATGTTTAAGTTTTATCTTTAAACTGGGGTTTTACAAAGCAACACATCTGTGGTATACTGAAGTTTTGGCTTTAAGGACCATTAATTACTTAACTCTGGAGAAAGTGGTGCAGAGGAAAGCAAGCTGAATTTAATTTCTTAAATACCGGAAATAAAGGCACACCTGAAGAGACAGTACGCCTTGCTGAGAAGCGACCTCCAACACATTATAGAGCGCTGGGTGAACAGCCTTGGATTAGCCACATAACCGGAGACGGCTGCACACCCTGCGAGGTGTCAGCAGTGACCACAGCCAAGGAAGACCCACACACAGGGCCTCCCAGCCCAGCCATTCTACACTCTAACCAACTTCCTGCCAAGGCCGGCTGTCAGGAGGCTGGCAACCGCAGGGCTCCCTGGAAGGCAGGGGTTAAGAGAGGAAGCTCAGGGAATTCCAAGCCTGGCCCTGCCACTTACTGACAGGAAGGCTGAGAGAAGGTAAGCTCGTGTTTCTAGTTCACTTTCCTCATCTGTAAGTTGGGAAGACCACTGCCTATGGCTAGGATGAGACAAAATCGGAAGTACTTAGCAGCTAAGAACAGCCATACATGGCAATGACTAACGTCACTGACAACACAGAAGGGTCAAACCAGGTGCCTTGAGGCATTTCAAAAGGTCACTTCCATGCTGAGGCGTCAAGGCCTTGGTGCCAGCCAACCAAAGACTAATTCCCCGGAACCGTGAGCCAAGCTTCACCCCTTCTCCTTTGTGTTTGGGTCTCATCATGTATTTTGTCCCAGTGAGAGGAAAGTGATCAAAACATACAAACTCATTCAAAAAGTACTTACTTTATGGCAAAGCACCAAGTATTCTAGTGCAAACAGTTAAAAAAAAAAAATTAAAATTAAAACACCAAAAGAAAAACAAAACAAAATAAAAACTTCCTAGGCCCTGTCTTCATATAGTTCTAAGTTGGGAGAAACACATAAACAGTTTGAATCCAGCCTGGTGAGAGTGTGTAGGAAGGACAGGCGCTATGGGATGGATGGAGGTTGCTGATTGCAAGAAAGTCAGACACTTGCTGGATGTCTGAGCTTCAACATAAAGCAAAAATCTGCGGGTGCTTTCTGACAGAGACCAGCATAAACGCAGGCCTACAGGGTAGGCGGGAACACGCACTTCCTGTGAGCTGCCAGCTGCGCAGGTGGCCCTGACAGCTGTCATTTTCCTCTGGCCCCTTCCTTTTCCATAAAAGTACAGCCATGCCTGCCACTCCAGACAGTGTCCCACCCTCGGGCCACGTTCGCACCCATAACATAAGGTGCATCCACTCATTTCTCCACATTCATTTGCGTATGTGGGTGCCCAGGTCTCAGTCTACACCTGAGACTGGGGTCACTACAGTGTGATCTTTCATCTGCCTTTCTGCGTGACCTGCCACGCCTTCCCTATCAATTTCTTATGCTCTAATTCATTATTCACAATGGCTGCTTGTTCTATGGACATCCTAGTTCTGTGCCTCTTTCAATGATGTGGAATTAAACCCTGCATACATATCTGGTGGTTGTATAGATAGGCCAGGCCCCAAGGAGTGAGGTCACTGAAGTAAAAGGAACACATATTTTTAATTTTACCACGTTGGCATGTCTTTCTGTTTATATTTAGTACAGGGTCTACAGGCTCTCATTCCACAGATCGGACTCTAGTGATTCTGTTTTTCAGCCTCCCAAGCACTGGGATTACAGGCTTGTGCCACCATGCCCATTCTCAATTTCTGTTTGAGCATGCCCCAGGGGCAGGGCCAGTACTGCAGGCTGCAGATTGAACCCTAGTCCCTGTGTCTGCCTAAGCAGGTGCTTTAATCCACTGAGCTATTTGGCTGGCCCTTACTCTGTTCTTTATAAAGCCCAAACATATTTGCATTTGCAGCCTACGCAAGGACCTCTGGCCCTGTATCTCCTATTTCACAACTATGTTAATGAGCTGCCCTCAGCTGGGCAAAAGCACTTGGCAATTTTCTTCTTTTTGATCCTCCTTCCTGACATCCAGTGATGAGGAATCCAAAAACATCTGGTCAGACTCCAGTCACCTCCCTCTGGGTTTGGAGACAGCCTGGAACCAATTTGGCTTGAATAATGAGTGACATACAGATGGACGGACAGACAGACAACTTTCAGATCACTCGCATCCCCTGGCCCACACTCTGACTTGGCATAATCTCTGAGCCAATACTAAGGTGTTGGGAAACCTGCAGACCACACTTCAAGAACGTCCATGCCAATTGGCAGGAAGTCAGTGCCCGCAGGCCGGAAGGCTGCAGGAAGGCAGGTGCTTTCCTGAGGCCCCGCCTCCTGCCAGCACTGCTCCACCAGGAAAGGACTTCTGTCTCCTCCTGTAGTTGTTCTCAGCCCTCCCAGCACAAGCTGACCCACGCCCCACAGGCACCCCCATCAGAAGCCCAGAGATCCAGGCTGGCAGAGCATCCCTATGCTGGTTACAACCCCAATGCTGGCTCCCCTCCTTGGCTACCCTGGCTCTGGATGTGGCCAGTAGCTTGAAGACAGCCCCAGTGAGCCACCCGCTTGGTGTTCACAACCTCATGCACTTCCGTTTCCTCTTGAGCAACTTGTGTCTAACCAAGTAACAGCAGAGCTACGCAGCAGGTGTTACTCCCCCGGGTGAGGTTACAAAGAAGTCCGGTTTCCATCTAGTTAGCAGGTTTGGATCTCTTGTTGGTTCTAATGAAGCACAGCTGCCAGATTAGAGACCCACATGGCCAAGAACTGAGGTGGTCTCCAAATACCAGTAGAATGCTGAGTCCTTCATTTAATCTAATCCTACCAATAAGTTTAGAAGTGTACACCTCCCTGAGCCTTCCAATGAGGCCTCCCCTCTGTCTGCCCCCTTGACTGCAGTCTACTGAAAGACCATGATGTGGAGGACCCCTCTAAGCCATTCCTGGATTCCTGACCCACAGCACCTGTGAGATAGTAAGTGTGCATGGTTCTAAGTATACAAGGTTGGTGGTGTGATACCTTATATTTAATACAAGGTGGCATTCATATCCCTGTTTTTTCCTTTGGTCTTGTTTGTTTTTTTTTTTTTGAGGTTTTTTTGTTTTTGTTTTTTTTTTTAGTTGAAATTGTTTTTTAGGTAGTTTACTTTTTGCTTTTGGTGCCAAGGACCGAACCCAGGGCTTCCAGCTTGCTAGGCAAGCGTTCTACCACTGAGCTAAATCCCCAGCCCGTCCTTTGGTCTTCTAAATCCTCTATTACCAATTCCCTATATTGAATTAGTTGAAAATACCTAACACGATCTGTTTTTCTGTTAGGACCCTGTTACTTCCTAGGGTTCAAATTCTACTGTCTAGTATTTAAGGGTCTCTACAATTTGACACGTTTATGTCTTGTACTTTCCTTGGCCTACATCCCTACAAAGGCAGTGAAGTAGGGCAAAGAGGGAAGGGCCCCGGGCCTGATCCCTGTCCTGTATTTAAATCCTGACTCTTAGCTTTAATTGCTAAGTGGCCTGAAGCACATCAGTGAGTCTTTGTAAGCCTCCATGGCTTCTGCTGAGACACAAGGAATACAAAAGAACTTAAGACTGCTGCACCAGGTATAAAGACCTAGCAGAACGGCACCGCAGGGTATGCTTGCAGAAAACAGCAGACAATCGCTTTCACTACTGCATTTGTCTTCCCTTAGTGTGCAATCAGCAACCCCACGTTCCACTGAGCCAAATACAAACTTCAGGGACCAGCTGTTCTTTCAAGATGCTTTTTCCCTTAGACTTAGCATAGTTTCTTTCCCAGGGGAGCCTAAGTTTCCACTGAAGTATCTTATGACCAGTCAAAGGGGAGAGGGAAGGAAAAGAAAAAAGGATTCCTGTTCTTAGTGGGTTTTGTATCCTCCCAACATCTAATGCTTGGGCAAGTGTTTCATTAACTTGAAGCAAACATATTCTAGTGTTGAAAGCAAAGTGCTACAGAAAATCTACAAAGTTAGTATCAAAAATACTGTAACTAGGGGCTGGTGAGATGTCTCAGTGGTCTAAAGCACCTATTTAGAACAAGCTTAGCAAAGCACAGAGACCGCAGTTCAATCCCCCAGCACCACATGCCAGCCAGCCCTGCCCCCTGGTGGGCTGAGCTGCCCCCCCCCACAAAAATAAAAAAAAAAAATACTGTAACTAAGAAATATCACACCTGTTCATCAAATCCTTCCATCTTTACTTCCAGTGTCTGGATAAGTAATACCGAAGCAACCCCCAGAATCAAATCCATCTTTTCCCTTCTAGGAGTCTAGCACAACCCACCTGCCTGTGATACACATGGTTTGGAATTATAACTGCGGAAGTACCTAACAGGCGAGCAATTTAAGGCAACTCACTTGAGCTTTTCAGTAAACCCAAATGCTTCTGTTACAACCTAATTCAATCAAAAGCAGGCTCCGCATGAGCCCCAGACAGAACCCCCCTAACAATGAAAGCAATGTACAGCTACTGCTGCAGACGCGGGTCCAGCACCGCGGGAGGGTAAGGCTGACCTCACCTTCATCTCGGGATACATGTAGCGGTGGATGGAAGGCAGCCAGTAGACCGGGGGCAGGCTGCTGCCTCTCCCGGGTCCCACGTGGAGCACTCCCTTCTTGTCTTCATAGAACGCAGCCAGATGAGAGTAATGTCCCGGCATCTCCAGCTGGTGCCTGCGCAACACACACACAACCAGCACAAGCACAGTGAAAACAGCCCCACAGTCCAAGCCCCAGACCCGCAGCACCACTGCAGCTCTGAGGCTGCCTCAGAGCCTCCCGTTGTGCGACTGAACATTCTTCCGAGGGCCCAAACGTGGCTCATGCATTTGCTTTCTCATGGGAAATGCACAGAATTATCAGGCTGTGACTAATGTCTACTGTCCCTGAGCAAGGTAGGCGACGCCGAAGCTCCGATGTTGTTCCCGGAGAATGGTGGTTTTCTTGGTGAGAGGCTAACCTGGACAACCACAGAGTCCCTGCTGCACGCTGCCTTTTGTGTCAAATTCATGCTTCGTTGCTCTCTTTGTTGTGATAAAACAACAAGGAGAAGCTTATGCCTCGTGTCCCAAATAAGGTCCTTTACTGGAAGAGTTAAAGCTGGCAAATTACAGCAATGCACCCCACACCCATGTTTGTACAGCGCTATTCATAATAGCTAGATCTTGGAGGCAGCCGAGACATCCATCGATAGATGAAAGGTAGAGGAAATGTGGTATCTGCACACCTTGGAGTACTACTCTGTCATAAAGAAAAATAAACCTCAGTCATTTGTAGGAAAGTGGAGGCACTTGAGACCATAAAGTTAGGTCAAATAATTGAGACCACAGAAGTTTAACCAGAAGCTTAAAGCTTGATTTCTCTTATAGGAGAACCCCATAATATAAATACAGATCAAAATGAAAGACAGCAGAAAGTGGGGAAATAGTTCTTTCTTAAATAGGAAGGGGCTCAAGAGAAGGGCGAGAGAGGAGGGAGGGGACAGTAAGGAATAAAGGCATGTCATGTGTAGGCACCAATTCCACACAGAGTGACCATGAGGGACTGCAAACAAGTTACAGCTGCAGGTCACAGAGATCCTCACTGCCCATCAATAGCAAAGAAATGAAACACAGCACAGTATGTTCTCCCCCTGCCCTGTTCCTATCCTCTGCACAGGTCAGAAGCCCTGTCACCTGACCCCAAAACCAAGGAAGGAGCACCAAGTCCCTACCGCAGTGTACAGTGCTGAACCCCGCTTCCAAGTCAAGGTATGAAGATTAACAAAGGTGTCAGGGCTTTAACTTTGCCCCCACTGCACATGAAAAAGGTGGAAGTCTAACTCCTAGTACCTCAGAATGTGGCCTTACTTGGACAGCCTTTGCAGAGCTAAAGGCCACTGGAACCCTAATCCAGTAGAACTCAGAGAGGGGTGGCGAAGCAGGGACCCAGACGAAGGATCCACAAGCCAAGGAACACAGAAGACCGCCAGCTACCACCGGAAGCCAGACAGCAGCAGGGGGCAGGTATCCCCACCCTGCCCCCAGGGTCAGGAAACCTACCGCTCTACACCTTGGTTTTGAGCTTCTAAGCACTAGAACTGTGACACAGTAGCTTCTGTTGTCCTAAGCCACCCAGTGTCAGGCACTTCGTTATGCAGTCCCAGTAAATAAAAGGCTTCAATCCTTTTTAGCTCATTTTTACTTTCTTGGTGTTTTATAATTTCCTTAAAATGATGGAAAAGCAGCAAAATTTCCCTGAGCAAAGGACAGGCATTCCTAGTTGTGACTGGCCCCAGAGCAAGTGATTTCAAAAAAGGCAATTATCTGTCACCAGCCCCCACCGACCTCTAAAATACAACACAAATGGTTCAGAATCAAAATGTCACTGACTCACTAGTAGCCAAATGTTCTCCAACTACCTCCACACCAGAGTGACTTTCAGGAAAAATTATATTTTAGAAAGGAAGGAGTGAGATCTTAACATCACTATATTTTTTAAAAAATGATTGGCAAGGGCCAGGGAGATAGCTCAGTGGACTAAGCACCTGCCTGGCAAGCATAAGGTCCTGGGTTCGATCCCTGGTACCACATGCCGTGGGGGTCCCATGCCACGCCCTGCCGGCCACTGCAACTGGCTGGTGCACACCTGTAATCCCAGTGCTGGGGAGGCTGAGACAGGAGGGGCACTACGAGCCTGAGCTGTATAGTGAGACCCTGTTCCAAAAATAAATTATTCTTCTAAAAAGAAATGATTGGAATAAGTTCCTGTCTGGAAGACAGCTGTCTAATTCCAGGGTTCCTACACATTTTGTTTTAAACTTTGCACAAGGGAACCACGGGACAAAATAAGCAACACAGAGGGTGCCTGTGACCATTTGGAAAGCCACCGTGGCAATGGCTGTGCCTGGCTATTCTGACAAGATGACAGGGTTGTGGGTCAAATGGATAGAAATCTGATCAACAGAAACTCGCAGAAAATAACCTCAAAGGTATTTTCATTACAACCCATTATAAAAACAACAACACTGAGAACCTCTATTTTCTGTGTTGAAAGGGCTGAATCAAGGGTAATTTGCTTAATGCCTTATTTCTTTCCTAGGTTTACTGTTTGCTGGTTTCCTGTTCAGCTGTCTTTTCTGTCTGGCTACATTAAACTGTATTTGGAGCAAGAATCTACAGAAAAGCTCACTTAAAGAGTATCTTAAAATAAAAAGCTGGTATCAAGGGTTATCAAATGGCAGATTAAAGCACCTGCAAGCAGGTGCAGGGGCCAGGGGTTCAATCCACGGGCCTGCCATGCTGGTCCCCCCCCCCCAGGGCACGCTGAGATGGCACCTGAGACTGGGCGTGGTGGCACACACCTGTAATCCCAGCTCTTGGGAGGCTGTAAACAGGCGGATCACCACGAGTCTGATCTAGCAAGACCCTGAACACTTTGTAGACACTTCCCTAAAAATACAAAAATAAATTAAATAAAAAGCTGGTATCAGGACTGATAGCAGAGAACAAGGAAAAAACCCACAGCACAGAATATGAACAGAGACGTAAATAGAAACCAGCAATTTGCAGATGAATGTTAAATAGCCATTGTGTGAAACCTCAGAACGTAAGCATGCTGCAGGTTCTGCCACAGTAAAGAGTGATCATCGAACACAAGGATGAGGGGCCGGGGAGACAGTTCAGTAGAATAAGCACTTGCCTCGCAAGCGCAAGGGCCTGAGTTCGAACAATCCCCAGTTCTGCCAAAAAGTAAAAAACCCACAATGATGAGGGTGGGGCAGATAGCTCATCAGCATAAACACCTGCCAGGCATGCATGCACAAGGTCATGAGTTAAGTTCATTCCCAATACCAAAACAAAAGAAGAAATCACCAAGATGTGACACTGTAAAAACTATCAATCACTGACTCCAGAGGTGCCACTGATCTGTTCCTGCAGGGCCACGCAAATGACCAACGCAGCTACCCTGCCTTCCCCTACCACAGTGTGCAATACTTCATCCAGCGTAAGAAGTGGAGGGGCCCCTGCGCCCCAACTACACCTCCTCAATCTGGCGTGTTCCCAAGTTGTCTGAATAGGTCTGTCATCTGGCTTTGCAAATACAGAAAGACCAGCACTCCCGTAGGCTGCTGGTGCAGGGAGAAAATGGCACCACCTTTTCAGGCCAAATTACAATTTATGTCAGGCTGTACACTAAGTATAGCTCTGATCCACCTAATTTCTGAAGATCTATTTAGGGATGTGAAAAAATCATTTTACTTACATGGATGCTCATGTTTACAGTGGGAAAGAAACCAACCTCAAGGCCTAGTATTTAAATAAGCTATGGTAGATCTACATGGTGACATGCTGTGAAAACTACCAAAACCGTGTGACAAGACTTTGATGATATAGGTAAAGGTGAACAGGCCACATTTAAAAAAAATTAGATATAAAATGACATCAATAGCCCTTTCAAGGGCTGGGGAGATAGCTTGGTGGTCTAACTGCCTGCCTGGCAAGTGCCAGGACCTGAGTTTGACCCCAGTACAGCATGCCCTGCAGGCCCCCAAACCCAAGGTGAGCCATGCCAGCCCCAAAAACCAGGTGTGGTGGTACACACCCATAATCTCAGGGTTCTCTATGAGTCTGAGCTGTGTAGCAACACCCTGTACTAAATAAATTTTTCCAAAAATAAAATAAGTGGGCCGGGGAGATGGCTCAGTGGGATAAGTGCTTCCCTGCCAAGTGCAAGGGCCTGAGTTCAATCCCCGGTTCTGCAAAAAAATAAAAAATAAATAAAATAAGTATTTCAGTCTTACATGCCTAGATAGACCTACAGAGTTGAAGAAATTAAATATAAGGAACATAAAAAGAAAGAAGAGAAAAGGGCTGGAGCTGTAGTTCAGTATGAAGGTCTAGAACAAAAAAAAATTATTAAATTCTACTTTTGTATTACCAGATTCCTAAAGTAAACTATCTGATTTCTATAAATGCACACAGGCTCACATGCAGACATTTCACCTAGGATTCAAACAGCCACGTGCTCTGTGGATCATCTGACATCCCTTGAGACA